ATTTAGAAAAGAGCCCAAAAAAGTCAAATTCTCTCCATGGATTTAAATAAGGCCTTTTCTACAACTTTAGTATAAAAATACAATTTTGATTATGGTGCTGTGAATTTTCAACTGTGTGGATTACTCACTTTTTAGAATACTCTCAGCAAAATTTTAGTCCAACTTGGCTTCCTCCTGCTACCCAGAGTACTTCTCAGCCACCATCATTTACCGTTAGTAAGAATTTAATATTAGCCCAAATAAAACACAATCAGGAAAATAAATGTACAGAAATACAGTGTATCCCAAGTAAAATATTTACAATATTCAACATTTTGGCATAATTTAATGAAAAGCAGCTCATTACAGTGAATGCTCTATTTTCATGGATGAACTTTATCAAACTTTCTGCCAGAAAACCATGAATATTTAAGGATACCCTAATTTATTTTATAGGTCTTGAGACCACTTAAGCTCATCATAATTTCATAATATAGGGTGAGGCAAAAGTTGGTTTACAGTTGTTTATATGAAAAAATACAATATGTAAAAATAAACTTTCCCATACTCACAAATGTAAAACTACTTTTGCCCCCCCTATGTATCTATTTTGAGTTATGTGAATTATAAAACCATATATTTAGCCCATACACATCAGAACATTTATTCACTTGAAAAACTAATTTTATAAGTAAAATTATGTTACAGTAAATGTTATAATATCACTGTAAGAGAGCTTTTTTAAAAAAGAACAACACAGCAAATCCTATTGGCTTGTCCTTTTGGTTTACTCTTCTCAAACCAGTCAAGTTCTGATATTAGGCAAAATTACTATCACTATATTTTAGGGGGGAAAAGTGAACACATCCATTCCACTCTAATATTAAGGATAAAAGTAGTTTCTCCAACCACAATGGATCAACTGACTTGATAGTTTATCATTTTTAAGTAATTACTAAGCTTCTTATTTCACAGAACATAATCCATCATTTTTGCTTTTTTGAATTTGATTCCTTGAGTTATAAATCTAAAGATGTTCATTTTCAGAATTTCTTTACAGGTTTGTTAGTTTTATTTTCTTACTCTAAGAAAAATCAAACTAACTACATTTGATATTGTCGTCAGTTTCAAATTTTATTTTTTTCATGATTCCAATTCCACTTGTGATTCTAAGATGAAACCTGTAAATGCTCACTACATACTTCTAATACTTAAAAAATAAAGATCAGGGGGAAATCTAATAAATCTACTAAACTGCAATTACTATTTGAACCCAAATGCTAATATTCACACCATAAAATTTTCTAACATTCTTTAGATGTAGGAAGTTTATTAATTTATATTACTCCGCAAATATATCGTTATGTATTTAATTTGATTTAAACATATCCCATTGGTTGGATTTGGGGGAATGTTTTTAAAGTGTTGAGAGTTTAATGTTTATTTTTTTAATCCAACAACTTTATCCAAAAATGCAGAAAATTTTTCTGGCTGGCCAGGAGGAAAACATTTCAGTGTTGATAAGTCCATTGACTGTAACAGCCCAGGAAGCATGCTAAAACAAAAGAAGAAAAATATTAGGTAATATGGGAAAAAGTATCAGCATTCACCTGCTGCCCATTTGATGAATGAATCTAACTTCCAAGAATACTGTGAAGCTTCTCAAACTATACATGTAATTTTAATGTATTTTATTATTATAGGTATACAAACTAAGATTAAAGCAATACAAAGAGCTACATATCAACATCAATTCAAAAGATACTGTATCTTAAGTCAAGTGAAATATTTCAGAAATGTTATTTTATGAAGGATGTGGTCACCTTTTTTTTTTTTGCAAATGGCTTTGGAACACTTCTCAGGACTGGGCAGATATAAATTGAAACAAAATTAATTTATGAAAACAGAATAAATGAAACTAAAAATAACAGCTGCAAGATAAGAACAATAAGCTTGGGAAACTACTAGACCATGCATGAAGACGGTGGAATAACTTTTTGCCAGTAATTTACTATAATAAATCTGGTGTAAATTAAACAATGTACAATCGCCATGCTTGTTGGAAGTAAGATTCCAAACCACAACATAAAACTATTACTTCAGGAATTTAATTAAACAAGCCATTTAAATTAAAACATACAACCACTTAGCCTAAATTGGGGGCAAATAAATAATATACCTAAGATGAAAGTACAACCAATTACTGACTCTTATGGCATGCATGTGTATGACTTATTTGAAATTAATTTGAGAAAAAAAAAGACTTTGCCCTAGCCAGTTTGGCTCAGTGGATAGAACATCGGCCTGCGGACTCAAGGGTCCCAGGTTCGATTCCGGTCAAGGGCATGTACCTTGGTTGCGGGCACATCCCCAGAGGGGAGTGTGCAGGAGGCAGCTGATTGATGTTTTTCTCTCATGGATGTTTCTAACTCTCTATCCGTCTCCCTTCCTCTCTGTAAAAAATCAATAAATATATTTTTTTAAAAGAAAGAAAAAAGATTTTTAAACCTTTTATGAACTGTTTAGAGATTCCTACAGCTCCCTTTTCATCCTGAATAGAGAGTCAGGACAGGACATCCTTTATGAAAACAATGTTTTCCTTTTTTAAATGTACTGATACAACTTCAAAGCTGATTTAACATTTTAAATGAAAATACTCATCAACGGTGTCTGGAAAAATTGACTTTTATAAAACTGGCAGATTAGAGTTTATTACTCTCAACTACCTAAGGATAGATATGTCCATTATCTGAGGTCCACATAATTTTGATTATCTAGATTATCCCTGACTTATAATACAATACCTTTAAGAATGGCTTCTATATTACAAAGCCAGCCTGACATTCCCTCTCTTCCATCATTATAGGGATTATAACATCAACAAATACTCCTGAAACAATCAATGAATCTGTTTTGTTTACTGAAAATAGGCTTAGTACCTAGAACAATGTAGGCTCATAGTAGGTGCACAATAAATATTTAATGAATTAACAAGTGTTTACTGAATGCCTAGGAGACAGATGCAGTAAAGCTTAAAAGAAAAGGTTACTATTTCTAACATGTTTCTTCTAAAATTTATTTTTTATTTTCAAATTAACTTCAACTTATAAAAATACAGGTGGGCAAAAGTAGGTTTATAGTTGTGTTTGTGAAGCAGTTTATTCTTGTATTATATTATTTATTTGTATTACAATTATAAACCTACTTTTGCCCATCCCTGTTATGTATTTTGCAATACTTCTATGAGGTCTTTGCTTTTTAAAACATCAAATTAGGATAGCTCTTGGAGTCAAACAATTGGAAATTACTGACCTGACCCTTTGGCAAGCTTCTAGTGTCTCAAGAAGAATTAATAGAAAACAAGCAGCAATTTTCTTCTTCCTTTTACTGTGATGTTGATCAGTTCCTGTTGAATTCTAAGGTACTTCTAGAAAATAATGCTCCTTACCATAATGCAATTCCCCTGCTTAAAATATTCCAATGACTTCTCGCTAAACATAGAATAAAATCAAACTCTTACATGAGCTTCTCTGTCCAATATCATCTTATACTACATTCTCCCTTGCTTACTACAATGCCACACTAACCATCCCTTTGTTCTTCAAACATACCAAACTCAAAGCTCATTCCTAGCTTAGGGCCTTTGCAATTGCTGTTCCTTCTGCCTCAGTGGTTCCCAACCTATTTTTGGCCATGCCCCACCTAAGCATCTCTAAAATCCTGATTGCCCCCCCCACCCCCGTGACATATAATTCTTATTATTCAAAAAGGGAACTCCTATTCACATGGAGGAAGCCTAAAAGGCCATTAACTTGGTCTAAACAAGCTTCCAAAGAACATGGCAACCATGAAAGAGAAAAATAAAAGAACAAAAGGACAGTTGAAGTACTGAGGAAGAAATCACTAAGAAATTGTTTAAAAGAATAATATGAAGTGATATGAAAAGTTTCAAAACATATAATAGAGAACTGAAATGCGTAAATATGTCACAATATATATTTATATACTATATATGAGGCCCCTACAACCATAAGAAATGCAAAAAATTCACTGTTAATAATTTTTTCTTTAATTGCCCCTTTAAAATCAAATTGCCCCCCTATGGGGTGTTTGTTGGGAACCACTGCTGTAGAGCTTCACATGACCGGCTCTTCCTTTTCATTCCAGTCTTAGCTTAAATGTCAAATACCATCATGCCTTCCCTAACCATTTTATCTAGTTAGTCTTCACCAACCTATCACTCTAACCTGACTTATTTTCTTCATAACACATTTCACTATGTAAAATTTCATTGATGGCTTATTTACGAACTGTTTACTATCTCCTGCCATTAGAACATTAGTACCATGGGACTTTATCTCATGTTTACCACTGTATCCACAGTACCTAAAACAATGCCTGGCATATATTAAGTATAGTTGAATTAATGAATGAGCAAACTTAAGAGATTCCAGAGGATTTATTGAATGCAAAACCTGAATTAAAAATAAGCAAATGGCCCAGCCAGTATCTCAGTGGCTGAGCATCAACTTAAGAACCAGGAGAACACAGTTTGATTCCTGTTCAGGGCATATGCCCGGGCTTTGGGCTGGATCCCCAGGGTGGGGCATGCAGGAGGCAGTTGATCAATGCTTCTCTCTCATCATTGATGTTTCTATCTCTCTCTCCTCACTTCCTCTCTGAAATCAATAATATATTAAAAATGTTAAATAAATAAATAAGCAAATGCCTTCTTTGAATAATGAAAATCTAAATAATTAACTCAAGAATTATATTCTCAGATTTGAGCACCCAAATAAACATACATGCTCAGATTTTTACATGTAATGATGCAGGCACAGATCATAGTTGGAGTGGAAGACAAATGAGAGGACTTGGCAGGTGAGAAAAATCAAAGAAAGTTTGATTAAGTGGGAGACAGTAAGAGGTTGAAGAGACAGATGGGGTAGGTAGCTGGGTAAGAATAGGTAGGGAGGAAATTAAGGAATTTTTTAAAGTCAAATAATGAGTCTCTAGTATACCTGCAGGTACAGTAAAAGAGATGCCCGTCTCTGTGTAGCTGTTTTGCCAATTCCAGCTGATGATTGTTCATCAATTTTTCATTTATAACCACTACAAGAGGCTTTCTTTTTTCCAGAGTCTCCAAACAGCTTCCTGCACCTACAAACATACATCGAATTTGTTAATACAGGTTTTTTAAAAAGTTAAGCCAACAGATATACAAAAAGATGCTCACCTCACTAGCTATTAAGGAAATGCAAATCAAAACTATAATGAGATACCACCTCATACCTATTAGAGTGGCCATAATCAACACCACAGTAATAATGCTAGAGAGATTGTTAAGAAAAAGGAACCCTCATTCACTGCTGGTGGGAATGTAAACTAGTACAGCCACTATGAAAAACAGTATGGAGGTTATTAAAAAACTTAGTTTAGTTACCATATACTTAGCAATTCCTCTTCTGGATGTTTACTCAAAAAACTTGAAAACATTTATTTGCAAAGGTATATGCACCCCTATATGCAGCATTACTCACAGTGGCCAAGACATGTAGACAACCAAAGTGTCCTTTGATAGAGGATTAAATATAGGAAATGTGGTAGAGATATACCATGGAATAACTATTCCACCATAAGAAAAGAGACAAGACTGCCACTGGTGACAACACAGATAAAACTTGATAATATTATACTAAGCAAAATAAGTTAGTCAGAAAAAGCTAAGAACCATATGATTTCACTCATATGTGGGATATAAAGCTGAAACTTGCTGAAATCAGTTTGGCTCAGTGGATAGAGCGTAGGCCTGCGGTCTGAAAGGTCCCAGGTTTGATTACGGTCAAGGGCATGTACCTGGGTGATTGCAGGCACATCCCCAGTGGGGGGTGTGCAGAAGGCAGCTGATCGGCTTTTCTCTCTCACCGATGTTTCTAACTCTCTATCTCTCTCCCTTCCTCTCTGTAAAAAAAAAAATCAATAAAATATATATATATTTTTTTAAACTGAAACTTATGACACAGACAACAGTATGGTGGTTACCTAATAGAAAGAGATGGTGGTAGTAAAGGGTAATGCGGGCCAAATTTATGGTGACAGAACATTTGACTTTGGTTGGTGGGTCCACAATACAATGTACAGGTCATGTACCATAGAATTGTACACTTGAAACCAAGATGATCCTATTAACCAATTTCACCCCAATTATTTAAATTTAATAAAATGTTTTAAAAGTTAGTGTTCCACCAAGTTTTGTGCTAAAATTCTAAAGATGAAAACCTTAGTTGGCAGAACTACAAACCAGGAATTCTAATTATACATTCAAAATATCAAAAGTATAGTTATCAGTTGTTCTTTAATGTTATAAACCTAATTTGAAAAATACATTTCTTAACACTGTCAATAAATTAAGTGCTTTTCCACTTGCCCTCTAGTAGGATGCCCTGGGCATGGGTTTCAAATCCAAAAATTCAGATCCAACATATTGTACATGAAAGTGTTCTGCACATTTATTAAAAAAGTAGAAAAAGCAAGCCCTCAATAGTGACAGGCACCAATAAAGAAAAACTCTGACCACTCAATCCCAGAAAACAATCAAGGGTAAATTTCCACAAATGTGCATATCCTATATAATAAAAGAGTAATATGCAAATTGACCATCACTCCAACACACAAGATGGCTGCCCCCATGTGGTCAAAGATGGCCAAGACAAGGTGGCCAGCAGGGGAGGGGAGATGGGAGGGACCAGGCCTGCAAGGGAGGGCAGTTGGGGGCGATCAAGCCTGCAGGGGGAGGGCAATTAGGTGTGCCCAGGCTGTCAGAGGAGGGCAGTTTGGGGTGAGTAGGCCTTCAGGGGAAGGCAGTTAGGGGTGACCAGGCTGGCAGGGGAGGGCAGTTATGGGCAATCAGGCTGGCAGGGGAGCAGTTAGTTATCAACCAGGCTGTCAGGGGAGTGGTTAGGGGGTGATCGGGCTGGGAGGCAGAAGTAGTTAGGGGCAATCAGGAAGGCAAGCAGGCAACCAGTTGGGAGCCAGCAGTTAGGCCCACTTGGATCAGGCCTAAACGGGCAGTCAGACATCCCTTGAGGGTCCCAGGTTGCAGAGGGTACAGGCTGGGCTGAGGGACAACCCCTCCCCCATGCACAAATTTCATGCACCGGGTCTCTACTATACAATATTTGGGTCAACTCAACTTTAAATATATTTTATTGATTTTTACAGAGAGGAAGGAGAGGGTTAGAGGGCCAGAAACACCAATGGGAAACATTGATCAGCTGCCTCCTGCACAGCCCCCACTGGGGATGTGCCTGCAACCAAGGTACATGCCCTTGACTGGAATCGAACCTGGGACTCTTGAGTCCACTGGCCGATGCTCCATCCACTGAGCCACACCAGCTAGGGTTCAACTTTAAAATCTAAAATCATTTGATATTTTCTATGGCAGGGAGGAGACTGATAAATGAATAGACAAATCCTTTATGGGTAAATAATGCTAGGGTAGTAATAAAAACACAGACTCCAACATCAGACCATTATCTGTCTACCCCTTACTAACTGGAAAAGTTACTTGACCTCTGTGTCTCTGTTTCTTAATCTATAAAATGGAGATACTAATAGTTAATTCATAAGGTTGTTTGGAAGGATTCAACCAGTTATGCACACATAATATGTATAACAATATCAAAAGCTGTTCGCTATTATCCATTTCTAATCACCAATCTGTTGGTTCTGTCTACTTCTAAAGACTTTTCTCTCTCCAAAGAAGGCTTTATAAGAACCACAGAACTTCTTCCTCCCTCAGTTATCCAGCAGTCATAATTGCAATGCTCTCCCAAAACAGTTCTTCTGAAGGTATGGGCAGGGTAACTAGATCAGGATGGTTCGCTGAAGAGCAGGAAATGATACACAATATGTAGCTGTTATAGAATATTTTTACTTAATTTATTTCACATTTACATTTAATAAAAATATAAAACATATTTCTAAGTCAATTTCTCCATGACTAATCCAACCAATTAGATGGCTTAATACTACTGCAGATCTAAGCCCAAATACCTCAACTGACAACTCTTAACACATCATTGGGTCAATGATTTTGCTTGTGTTTAAAGTTTCTTACTGTGAAGTTGGGCTATGGTAATTAATTTCCCATCCTTATACCACCCAGAAATAATAAATTCTGTCCAATATTTTCAATTATAAAGTTCAAACAAGTTTTTTATTCAAAAGGGCTACAAATCAGTTACTCTAATGACTTTATCTCCAAAAGGTTCAAGTTTCCGTTCTTAAAAAAACAAACCCCGTTAAGATTCTAAGACACTTTACCTGCGTGACTTATAACAAGATCGGCTTCCTCAAGGTCTTCTTTCAATGAATCCTTGTACCTATAAACATCCAGAGTAAATGACTCAGTACTGAATGGTTCAGGCACAACCTTTCCTCTACCTATTTGTAGGACGAGTCGGTTGTAACCAAGGCTCTTGATGATCTGAAAAGAGGCAAAACAGAAGAAAAAAAAAAAAAACAGGCCTTTTAAACAGGTTACTGTAAAGATAGTAGTAACAACAACAAACCCTAAAGTCGGTGTTCAGATCTGAGGACGGGCTGCCAAATAGTCTAAATGGAGACGATTTCTGCTCCTTTTCCAAAATGACCCCTTTCCCCCGTCCCGGGCCCTGACAAGGTACCTCATTAGCCCTAGAGGATCTACTCAATCCAGCTCACGGAGTCCTGAAAGAAGTGGCCCCTAAGAAATCTGAGACCAAGCAAAGATTTTGAAAAAGGCGCCGAAAACTCGGCCAGGAGACAACTAAGAGCTCCCAGGTCCCACTGCGCAAACAGAGACGCGGTGCCACCTCAGACGCCGGCCGGCCGCGGGGCTGCCCCAAAGGCGGAGGCAGCACCAGGGCGGCGAGCAGAACGGGCTGAGCTGAGTCCAGCCGGGGGATTCGGGTCGGAATTGGGTCTGGAGAAGCCTGCCCGGGGCCCGGGGCCCAACGCCGCCCACAGCTCTCCTCTGGGGAGGAGAGGCCCGCCGGGCGGGCCTAAACGCTCCGGGCGGAGCCACGGGGAGGAGGGACCGAGCAGAAAGCAGAGGCGGAGGCGGAGATTCTGAGGAGAAAAGCCCAGGGAGGGAGGAGCCTGAGAAAAGACTGGGAGGAGTGGCCCGGGAAGGCTGCAGGAAAGCGGACTGAGATAGAGACTCTGCGGCGGGGAGGAGTCAGCAAAGCGGCGGCACCCGGTGTCCCGCCCTGTAGGGTTCTTCCTAGCCAGGCTGGCGCGCTAGGTCCCGAGGCTGGAGGCGGCGGCGAGTGGCGAGCTCAGCGAGGCGCGCCCGCCGGCCGCCCTCCCACAGCCCCACTCACTTGCAGACAGTCTTGCGCCAACACACGGGCAATGAGGTCGTCAAAGCTGGTGGTCCCCACTGTAACAAACACGCACTTCATCGCGATGGTTCCCCGGGCAGAATCACAAGGGTCGGACGTGACGTACTGACATCACGTGAGCTGCTCGTACAGTGGGGGAGGCGGAAGTTGGCCAAGGCAGCCAGACTGCGGCGGGAATCGGGTTTGTGTTGCCCTGGGGGGTGGGGCCAAAGACTACTTAAGTGATAGTCAGCCACTGTCGGAAGTCACTTACTTATAAGAGCTGCTGGCACACTCGTGTTAAGGAGGTGGGGAATTAAAATAAAATTAAGTTTATTTTTTTCAAAAGTGTCGGTTAATAAAATAATGAAACCTCGCACCATCTCTTATATGAGCGATAATTTTACTTCGAGTGTTGAGAGACTATGAAATTTTCTAAAATCACTCATTAGAATGGGCTCTTCCAACTATGGTTCTCAAGAAGCCAGAACTATATGGCTGGTGAGTTTTTTAGGGAGCTGCATCAAGGCAATTACTTCCATTAGCAAGCATTGCGTTTAAAATAGAGGCGTTAAGGCCTGAAGCTTACATCTGTAATGCATTAAACCCATCCATTGAACCATTTAAAATGTGAAATTTATGGTAAATTTAATTTATGATGAAATGTAAAATTATACATTAGCTTGAATATGTACCACAGATACATTACAATTAGTCAAGTACAGGAGAGGTGATTTCTCTAGACTCCTTTCTCCTACCACTGTTATTAAAATTATTGCTCCCTCTATCTGGTTCTAATGTTACCAAATTAAAATCTCATTTTAAGTCATATTTATATTTTGCCCTGGCTGGTTATATATCAAAGGGAGCCTGTAAGAAGGAATTGTTTTAACCGAAACCGGTTTGGCTCAGTGGATAGAGTCGATCTGCCGACTGAAGGGTGTGCAGGAGGCAGCCGGTGGATGTTTCTAGCTCTCTATCCATCTCCCTTCCTCTCTGTAAAAAAATCAATAAAATATATTTTTAAAAATTGTTTTAAAGACAAAAAGGATTAGAGTTGAATTAGACATAGATCATAGGCTGAAAAAAAATTTTTACCTTTAAGTCTTGTAGCTTGGGTAATTATCTTTCTGAGGAGTTATATGCTGCTAACCCTCTCATGATTCTAAATTTTACAAATGAATGATACAGTGAAACTACAGTTTCATAATAACAGTAAATGTAGAAAGATAATGGTTGAATAATAAACATAATCGTATATTCTGCACAATAAGAGTAATAAACTATTTATTGAAATACTAGTATAAGACAAAAATATTCCAAAATATTCTGTAATTCAGAAAGACCTTTACCTCTTGTGTCTCTGAAATCTTTTCCTGTGCTTGGAAGATATTAGATGAAAGGAGCACTGTTCCGTTTAGCTCACAGAGAGAATAAGCACGCATATAAATTAAATGTTCTTAAATTACCAGAAAATGAGAAAATTAAACTTCTATCAGTTTTAATGTCCTAAACTTTAATAAAATATCTTGCAGAAGCTGATCCAGAACTCTTTTAGAATCCAAGATAACGCCGAGACCGGTTTGGCTCAATGGATAGAGTGTCGGCTTGGGGTCTGAAGGGTCCCGGTTCGATTCCGGTCAGGGGCATGTACCTTGGTTGCGGGCATATCCCCAGTAGGGGGTGTGCAAGAGGCAGCTGGTCGATGACTCTCTCATCGATGTTTCTAACTCTCTATCTCTCTCCCTTCCTCTCTGTACAAAATCAATAAAATATATTTTTTTAAAAAAAGAATCCAAGATAACAATTTTGGCAATTAATTCTTTTCTCTGTTTTGTTAGTTTTAAGTATAATTGTTAGTTATAATTCAAACCTGAATTTTATTTACTTGGGTGTGTTTTCCCTAAATTTATACCAGCTTACTGATCAAATAAGTTAGTATTATTTTTAAAAAGGATTACAATTTTAAAAAAGGTAAATTTGTATGGATGAAAAAGGAGCACATACTAAACCTAACAAGCTCAAGAGAGGCCTGCATGGTGGGCCTTATAAACTCAGAGACTGAAAGTAACCACATAGGATGGTCTGAAATTAAAATTTCTAAAAGCAAGTCATAGTATGCACTGTTGTCCTAGGTGGTTCTTCCTTGACAGTGGTCAATCTTTACCTTAACTGAGCCTGTTTATTGTCTTTTTGCATCTAAGATAACACACCTTTGGAATGTCAGAATAATTTTATTTTTCCTCATCACACCCTACCCCTGTACCCACCACGCCAGAGCAGGAGACCACAGCCCCTCATTGTTATCTTGAATACCATCTCATTGTGCTGTAAATGTTAATTGTTAACTATACCCCACTATGTAAAAGAAGTATTTGTCTCTCCATTTTACTTCTTATCCAGTCTCAGAGATCTCCCAACTTTGCTTCCCCTGCCTGCCTAATTTAGCACCAGTGGATTTTGTGTAACCCACTTACATCTCCTTCTTTTATTGTAATGTATAAAATAAGCTGCAAAACTGCACTTATGCTTGTATAAGCTCATAAAAATTCTCTGCAGGATTAGACATTTCTTATATTCACATTTGTTTTCAACTACACTAAATCAATATTCTGACAAATTATTTCAATATCAACTGTGCTTTTGTACTATGGTATCTTGAAGATAATTCCCAAGATCTTGAAGCAACTTCAAATCATGAACTGACATTAAATTAATTAATGGATAATGAATTGAACAGCTAGGTGCTTTTTAAGTTAAATAGAATATTTAAACATTGGTTTAAATTAAACATTTAAATTTATATACATTTGCCTCTTATTTGAAATGATATAGAGAAGCTATATCTTAGATTTGTGTAATGTTCGTTTTTGCCACTTTAGGAGATTATAAAAGGATTTGTGTGACTGCAGAAAGTTTTGTCATGCCTTAAATTCTATTAATCTGTTAACATGCTTGTATATGCTGTTATGCCCAAGTGTCATAAACCCCAAAGACTACCAGGGAGCCAAATCCGATGCAATTGCAGAAAGCCTGTATTTATTTCGGACTAGTCCAAGCCCAGTCTCACCTACACCAACGAGGGCATGGGTGAGAAAGAGGAAGAACTTAACATATCAATGGGTTTTATAGGGAGGGTGGTGCTGCTACCTTGGCTGACCTGATTGGTTGGGTTAGGCCTAGGGTCCAGTTACCTGGAGCTGGACCCGCCCCACCCTGCCCCCTCACCCCGCCCTGCCCTCTCATTCCCCCCCTTGTCTTGAGACTTAACAGGCCCAATCATGGGACTGTTTGCACTTCTGAAGGGTGCATAAAGTTCCTCCTTCCTGGTGCCCTGATCTGACATTTTGGGGGAGTTCACGAGATGTGTCCAGTGGAGACACAAGACTGCACAGCGGGGTCAGGAGTGTCCAGGGCAGAAGTGAGTCTTTCTCCCCCCCCCCCCAACCAGTGTATGGGGGCGTAGAGACTCCTGCAGCTGGCCACAAACAAAATTTCATCAGGCAGGTTGAGTACGCCGTAACTTGAGCTTGAGGGGGTTGTCTCGGTCTCGGTCGATGCTCCATCCGTTGGCGAAATCTTCCCGGAACGCAGAGGAGTCAGCTGGCCGAACATGGGTGTGGTGGACCCAGGTCACAATGCTGTCCACTTTGAGGGCGGTGGGCGTCGTCAGCACTACGATGTATGGTCCTTTCCAACGTGGTTCAAGCATCTCCCGGCGGTGTCTTTTGACAAAGACCCAGTCTCCCGGCCGGTACTGGTGGGGCGTCGGGATCGGGCCAGCCTAGTAGATGGCCTGTAGGCGTGGCCAAATGTCCTCATGTGCCTTCTGGAGCCTTCTTAAAGAAAAAGATATTTCTTGGTTTTCAAATTCAGTTAGCAGTTCTGCCTTAAGATTGGGAATGATAGGCGGGGGCCTACCAAACATAATTTCATAGGGAGTGAAGCCTAAGGTATAGGGTGAGTTTCTCACCCAGTAAAGAGCATAGGGAAGGAGAGCCACCCAGTCCCCGCCAGTCTCCATGGTTAATTTAGAAAGGGTCTCTTTTAATGTTCTATTCATTCTTTCTACCTGTCCTGAGCTCTGGGGCCTATACGCACAATGTAATTTCCAATTTGCCCCTATAGCCTTGGCTACTGCCTGTGTTACCTGTGAGATGAAAGCCGGGCCATTGTCCGATCCTATCACAGCTGGGAAACCGTACCTGGGTAGAATGTCCTCCAATAGCTTCTTAGCAACCATCTGGGCTGTTTCATGCTTAGTTGGGTATGCTTCTACCCATCCAGAAAAGGTATCTATAAAAACTAGAAGATATTTATAGCCATACTTTCCCGGCCTTACCTCAGTGAAGTCAATCTCCCAGTGCACCCCGGGCTTTGTTCCTCCGAGCCGGGTTCCTTTTCCACTTGATCCGGCCCTTGCATTTGTAAGCTGGCAAGTTTTACAGGCTGATACAATTTGATCTATTCTGGCGTCCAGTTGGTGAATTTTGATCTTAGCATGCCGGACCAAATCCTTTAATTTCCGGGACCCTAGGTGCGTCGATTGGTGTATGTGTTTCAACATTGGGATCCCAAGCTGGTCTGGTAGCAGGAGCTTCCCATCTGGAGCATACCACCAGCCCCTGACTTCCTTGTTCACAGTCCTTGGCTGTGTCGGCAGCAATCAGGATGTCATCTACGTACTGTAGGAGGGTGAGGCTGGGGTGCTCCCTTCTGTACTCACCCAGGTCTTCGTGTAGTGCCTCATTAAAGATGGTGGGCGAATTCTTGAACCCCTGAGGCAGTCGTGTCCAGGTGAGTTGTCCGCTGTAGCCCTCCTCTGGATCATGCCACTCGAAGGCAAACAAGGGTTGGCTCCTGGGTGCTAGCGGCAGACTGAAGAAGGCGTCCTTTAAATCTAATACAGTATACCAGATTCTGGTGGGCACCAGGGAGCTCAAGAGAGTGTACAGATTGGGGACAGTTGTGTGTATGTCCATGACTTTTTTATTTACTTCCCAGAGGTCTTGCACTAGTCGGTAGTCATTTGTGTGAGGCTTCTTGACCGGCAGTAGGGGGGTGTTCCAGGCAGATTGGCA